TGATTTTCAATGTCCAATCCAGTTTGTCAAAAAGAATATGCCTGATCTTCAAAGGTTTTTTTTTTTTTTTTTTGCGGTACGTGGGCCTCTAACTGTTGTGGCCTCTCCCGTTGCGGAGCACAGGCTCCGGACGCGCAGGCTCAGCGGCCATGGCTCACAGGCCCAGCCGTTCCACGGCATGTGGGATCCTCCCGGACCGGGGCACGAACCCGTGTCCCCCGCATCGGCAGGTGGACCCTCAACCACTGCGCCAGCAGGGAAGCCCTCTTCAAAGGTTTTATAAACTATTTAGATAAAATGAACCAGTAAAAAAATTATTACAAAATAATCATAAGGGTAAATCTTCTAATGCTGACTGGGGTTGCTACTACCCTATTTTATCATTTTTAAGACACTTGACCTCTATAAAATCGGGATGCATCTTTTAAGTGCGGTAACCAGGGGCCATCGTTGTGTTCAACTGTTTATAAGATCAACAAAGTACAAGCAACAAAGCAACCGAGGTACATGGATTCCCCTTTGGTTGGACCCTCCTCTCCATTCCCATGAGTACCCTAGTTCTTGCCATCTCCTGTCTGGACCACTCTTAAGGGCTTCCTACAGTCTCCAGGTGTGGCCCTTTGATTCAACCTTTCATACTCATACCAGACTAATTTTACAAACTTGAGCATATTACTTCCTTAAATAAAGATAAAATTAAATGAAACCCCTTCAGTGTTTTCTCACTGCCTTCAGGATATGATCCAAATTCCTATGTTTGACTCCAGTCTGACTGGAAATACTTTTTCACTTGAACAGTAGGTTAAGTGGTTCAAAACTCCAACGACCCCCTCGCTCTCCCCTGCTCCCCATTAGCATCAAGTCCTTTAGGCAGTGTTTCCTGGAGATGCTGGTGGGTGAGGGGGCACTGCTGTTTGCCAAGAAAACTCCCCCTAATTGATTCTGATATTCTTCCCCAGTGGAAAGCAATTCCCTCTCTCCTTGCTCCTCAGCAGGGAATAATGACTTTGACTGTTTGAATGCAAACCTCTAGAGAAAACACTCTCCACACTTGCACATTCTGCTATCTACTGAGAACGCTTTCCTTCTGACTACTTCTTTAAGATTCAGCTCAGGGGTCTTTCCACCGCAAGCCTTCCCTCATCTTATTCCAGATCAGCACCAGTCCTAACATGCTTCTGCAAGGTGCGGGGCTTAACTCTATCCCAGCACTTTCTGCACGGTGTTATGAGAGAACTTCCCCTCCTTGAGGGGAGGAACTGTGTGTTTACTTACTTCAAATAATAACAGAAACAGGGTGTTGTAGAAAAGGAGGCATTTTTAAAAAGTCAAACACAGATGGGTTCGAATGCCAGCTTTACTATGTACAAGGCTGAATGATGTTGAAGAATTTACCTAACCTTTCTAAACCTCGCTGTTCTCCACTCGCAGGGTTATTATTATAAGGATTAAATGAAACAATGCATGCAAGTGCAAGCTTGGCATATACAGCAAACACTCAATAAATGGTTCTGTAAAATGAGGATAACAATACCTACACCATGCAGACAGGGATGCATGTAAAGCACCACCACAATGCCTGTCACACAGGACTCAAATCATCTTTGTTGATCAAGTGGTGAAGTAAGAAATTAGGAATGTTTTCAAGCAGGAATCAGGATTTAAATGAGGTTCTGAAGGATGCATGATTTAAGGGCTGGTAAAGAAAAAGAAGAGCAACAAAAAAACAGTAGGGAAATAACAACATGGTACCTACGAGAGACAGGGAATGTACCTATGTAAGTAAGTAGCAAAGTGTGCACAATGGGCACTAGCAGGAAACACAGCCCCATAAGCAGAGTTGAGCTAGATCAGGGAAGGCCCTGAAAGTCAGACATAAGAGCTATAGTTAAGGAAGGCAACAGAACCCTGTTACAGGGTTCTGAGCAAGACTAGGAATAAGTTACAGTAACGTAACAGCAGCAGTATCCAGAACGATCTGCAGGGGAAAATACCTAGAGTCAGGGACCTCGATTCTGTGATAATTTAGAAATGTAAAAGGCAAGAATGACTCATTGTTTTAGTTTTCTATACCCTAGTAACCTACTGCTATGATACATAGCACCATATAACTGTGAGAGGCAATAGGGTGTGATGCAAACAGTGCCGGACTGGGAGTAATACTTGATAGGGGGATGCCAGGTCCTTTCATGTACACCTCACCTCCCTGCTTGCCTCTCATAATAACGCACTCAAGTAGGCAGAGTAGAGTTTTGTCCTAGTTCGAAGAGGACCTAGTGACCAAGAGAAAGCTGTTAAAATTCCATGATTCTGTTGTTTCATTTACTATTTCAGCTTTTTTGATAAGCTCCTTGAGGTAAAATACAAAATTATTTTATTCCCCTTTGTATAAGTTAGCCAACCCTTGTGGCAGCTTTTAGATAATATTCAAGTCCTTGGTGAATTCATTATAACCCTGTTAATTTGCCAGAACACTGGTTTAATTATTAGCTTCTATATATATGAGAAAAAATGTATCTCTAAATCTCGACCAAGTTCCCGTCCTGAATTTCTGCCTAAACACCTGCTACACCCACCTGGTTGTTTTAAAGGTACTTTAAACTCAACAGGCACATGTGAACCCTACATCTTCTCCTCGTTAATCCTAATTGCTAAATCACTCCAAAACTCTGTCTTTTCTCTTCATCTTCATTATTATCTTAATTCTGGCCAAAATCATTTCTTGCTTGGATGCCTGCATTAGTCTTCTAATACCTGGTCTATAATGTTCTAGACTCTTCTCCCACCACTTACCTTCAGCCTATGCTGCAAGTATACTGACCTTCTTATGCACATGACACCCCTCCCCCGCCCCAATTTCAAGTTGCTCACTTTGCCTGGTTGCCCTCCCCCCAGTATCACGGAAGGGGCAAACTCCTGTTAGTTTTGCAAGATCCTACTGCTGAAGGGAAACTTTCACTGTGTAACTCCTCCTTCGGTGCCATCACTGCACCTTGAATATGCTAGCCTAGCCACCTCTCGTCTCTCCACCACATACTGTATAGTTTTATAGAGTTCTCAGATTAATATTATTGAGGAAACACAATCATGTGTCCCGCCCTCCCCTCCCCACCAACACCTTATCTGCAGAATTAAAAAATACACTCTCTTTGGACCAAACAACCAAGAACTGACTCTATGTTCCCTTTAGAACCTCGTTTCCCACTAGCTCTCTTCATACACCATTCCTACAAGCTAACTGTACCACAGTCCTCATGCTTATACTGTGCCCCCTATCTGGAATGCCTTCTATCCATATCCCCTAGTCAAAATACCATCCATCTATCTACGTCTAGCCTAAACATCACTCCCTCATCAACCTTCTCCATCCTTCCAGTTTGAAGTATTCTTGTTTCTTATGGGATCCCAAACTGCCACTGTATGAAACATCTGTTACTGATTATCTTCTTTTCCTCACTACACTGAAAGCTCTTGAAGGTAGGATCAATCCTGGAATTATCTTAGTTTTTGTCATCGCAGCTTGCTATAAATACATAGCTAATAAATACTTAAAAATGAATTGTAGGATGAATCAATTTTCATTAATCAAGTGAAATACAATGGATCCCAGTATAATGAATGAGATATACAAACAGTACACTGGAGGAAGAAACTGGATATAAGTCCAAAGTGGCAGAACTCTGGCAATCTTTTGAAGCCTCAGTTTCTTCCTCTGATTCACAAGGTAAGTATCAACAAAGCCCTCTTTATTGTAAAGACGAAGAATTTTTTTTTTGCCTCTAAGGCAGTTGATGAAAGCTCCTTCAAGTCATGCATGCATTCAATAACTATCTGCCATACACCCATAGCAAGACATTGCGGGACATACAAACTTTCATAAGATACTACCTCTACTTTTCTAAGATAGAAAGGGTTTTTACTAAGTGTCTCTCTATCCCTGAGTGACTTGAAAACGTTTTTTCACATTGTGTCACTTCTAGATGATGTTGACAATAGAGCAATGATGGACACAGCTGACGTATATTGAGCCATTAAGTGCTAGGCATTGTTTGACTTGCTCTATTTGTATTGTATTAAGACATTTAATCCTCTCAACAACACTACGAGATAGATTACTAAATATTATTCCCCTTTCATAGATGAGACAACTGAGGCAGAGATTAAGAACCTTGCGAAGGGCACACAATGGATGAACTGGGTTTAGTTAAGCTTTCCAGCTACACTGAGCTCCTGAGGAAGGGGACCAGGGCTTACACGTGTTTTTATCCCACACAGAATCTAATGGCAGTTTTTGCGCAGAGCTCCAAAAAGGTTGCCAAAATGCCTTCTTAGGGGGTAGAGAAGTGTGGAGAAATCAGAATCTTTAATCATACAGTAATTCCAAGTCACGATTCGGTCCGAAAAGGGGATACTCCTCGTGGTCTTGCAAGAGCAGTGGCGTACAAATCCGTGCCCGGACCATTTTCCCAGCCGCCCCAACGCCGAGCCGATTCTAGATACGTGGGTCCGCCCAGGGGCCCCTCAATCTACCTGCAGGTCCGGGGACGGGGGAAGCGCGCCCCAGCCTGAGGTGCTACGGAACTAAGGGGTTCTGAGTCCTCTTACAGCACACGAGGACCAGCTCCCTCCCGCTGGCCCTGCAGTCTCCCGCACGCGCGACCCTTCCCCGAGCCCAGAACCGCCTGCTGGTTTGTTTAGACGCGCCCGACAGTTCTTTCTCTCCATCCCCCGAGGACTCACGCCCCTCAGCTGGGCCTGCAACGCGTGGTGGCCTCTTACTTAGAATCTGCAGAGAACACCGCTCTCCTGAAGTTCAGCTCGCTGCCGCCACAACGAACCACGCGGAGACTCTCCTCCTCCACCATCTTCGCGCAAGCGCAAGGACTCGCTGGCGCCGGCCCCGCCCCGAGCTTCCCCGACGGAAGCCGGTTGATAGGGCGTTTTCCCCAGCCCACAGACCCCATCCTCGCAGGGCTCCTCTAGGCCTCCGTCTCTATGGTAGTTCTCAATGGTAAGACCCAGCGCCTGAGCGGCCATCTTTGGTTTGGGCAACGTCAAATTAGGACATGTGAAAAAAGGAAAGAGCGAAACATAGAATGCATTTATATTAGATCCCTCTAAACTTTTATTTAGAAAAGATAAATTTCTCTCCGGACTTGTTAATCTGACTCTAAAGTTTCTTACGCCGGAAGGGAAAGGTGGCCCGAAGTGTGTCAGATGACCGCCAGTCCTTTCCCATATCCCGCCAGGCTTCACCTTTCTCTTAACTTTGATTCAGGAGCTGCGAGATGACGCCAGCGTTTTGCGCCAACAGCATTCCTGGTCGCGCAATTGAGTTCTTGGTTGGAAAGGTAGCGTTCTGTTTTTACACAACTGTTAGCTCCTCTCGTTGGCTGTCACTTTGTTCTGTTCCTCTGAGCAGAGCATACGTTCCTACAGAATCTTCACAGCTCCAAGAGGTTTGCTTTTTCCTTTGGACACCTGGCTCTTACTCCGGGATTCTGGTTTCTATTTCTCTCCCTGGTTCATTGGACCTTCTTGGCCGATCTGACATTGCACTCTACCCTGGCCAAGTTCCAGGGCCGCTGCTCCCTGGTTTGCTACTGTTTTGTGCGTGTTGCCGTGGTTTTAGCTTCCGTAATTAGTCGACCGAAGTCCTGAACTCTGAGAAAGTTTATGCCTCCATCTCCATTCCTTTTTATAAACTTATGTGTGTCATTTTCGTGGCCCCTGTATATTAGCGGGTGCTTATCTTCCTCCCTCCCTTCCTTCCTTCCTTCCTTCCACCAATCCCCTCTGTGCTGGCTCTGTAACACTCCTAAGGGTAAAGAGCCAGTGACAGGTTAACTTTAACAAGAACAGGAGATCTGCCTTGATTGTGTAGAAAATTACCACATCCCTTCAGTGTTTCTGGAGGCAAATAATTATCGAGAGCCTTCTATATGTGAGACACAATGCAAGACAGACGTGACTGCTGCCCTGTTACCTTCTATGGGAGAGAGACGTTTAACAAACGAGATGATCAGAGATTGTGTGCCGAAGAAAATAAAACAGTAATATAAGAGAGAATAGTTTTCTCTGAGGAGGTTTAGGCTTAACCTGATGAATATATATTTGTTAAGGTCGTGTAGGTTAAAAGATGATATTTTAACAATTCAATGTTAATACAAATTTGATATAAAATAATTCAATGCAGAAATAGAATGGTCTCGGTAGATCCTATACCCTATGAGTATCTCTCCACCATTAAAAGTTTGGTGTATATGCTTCCTGATATTTTTCTAGGCATACATACACCTTAACATTATTCTGCAGTGCAATGCAAGGCACCATGTATTCTTTTTTCCCCTCTCTATATGCTTTCACTGCAGTGTATATATATTTTTAATCTCCTTTTTGATAACTGCATAGTATTTCATACAGTAAATGTGCCATAATTGATTAAGTCATACTCTCTAAATGGACATTTAGTCATTTCCATTTTTTAAAAAGTGGCACATACTGCTACAGGACACATAAATTTGTGACAGTGTTGCTGTAGGAGAGATTCCTAGAATAGGTATTGTGGGGTTAAAGGATATTTGCATTTTTTATTTTTTTATTTTTTGTGGTACACGGGCCTCTCACTGTTGTGGCCTCTCCCGTTGTGGAGCACAGGCTCCGGACGCGCAGGCTCAGTGGCCATGGCTCACAGGCCCAGCCGCTCCGCGGCATGTGGGATCTTCCCGGACCGGGACATGAACCCGTGTCCCCTGCATCGGCAGGTGGACTCTCAACCACTGCGCCACCAGGGAAGCCCTACATTTTTTATTTTGAGAGTATGTTTTGTGGAATAGAGATATGTGTTACTGGGAAAACCAAGAGGAATAACTAATGGCAGCCAAAAAAAGGGAACTATTTAAAATTTTGGGAAAATCCATAAGAGGAGGGAGTATTATAAGAGAGTATGATTTCTTAAGAAGAAATCAGGAGGGAAAAGGACTGATGAAATGGTGTAAGGCAAATGAAGTTGCCTAATACATACTGCATCAATGAACAACGATTGAAAGGTAGCAAGGGTGGGGAGTTCACTGTTTAAAATTAAGAGTGTAATGTGGAGTCACTTTTTCAAGAATTGTTAAGTATAATGAGTTCTGCTTCTTAAGTCTAATATTTCTTTTCATATATTGGCATTCATATATCATACAACAGTCTTTGTTGATTGGCCTGCAAACACTAAAATAAAAGCAAAATTTTCTAAAGTGTTTGGAGGACTGGAAAGAAGTAATAGAATACTGAGGGTGATAGAGGTGGCTAGATACTCTCTGTACATGGTTTCAGATACTTCCCTAAGCATTTCGTAGAAGAGAGCAAGGGAAGTTTGGTTCATTTATTGAGTTGAGCATCTTTGACAGGTCTTCGGTTCTCTTCAGCTCTCCTCTTTTCTTTCTGCGTCCTCACCAGAATCATCTTTAAAAGTCCCTTTATGAAAGTACTGACTTTTCGTAGCACACACTTTAAAACTTTTCCAGCCTCTACCTTTATCCAGTTCCAAGGCTGCTTCCATATTTTTAGGTATTTGTTAGTTACAGCAGCACCCCTTTCTTGGGACCAAAGTCTGTTAGTCACGGTTCTCCAGAAAAACATAACCAATAGAATTTATTTATTTGTTTGTTTATTAAAAGGAATTGGTGCACTCAATTATGGAGGCTGAAAAGTCCTACAATGTGCAGTCTGCAAGTTGGACACCCTGGAAAGCCTGTGGTGTAATTCAGTCTGAGTCTGAAGGCCTGAGAACCAGGGGAGCTGATGGTGTAAATCCAGTTTAAGTACAGGAGAAGAATGACGTACCAGCTGAGCAGTCAGGTAGAGAAGCAACGAATTCTCTATTCCTCTTCCTTTTGTTCTACTTAGGCTATTAATGGGCCCTGAATGATGCCCACCCACACTGGGGAGAGCAATTTTCTTTACTGGGTCCTTATTGAGTCCACAGATTCCAATGCTAATCTCATCCGAAAATACCTTTACAGACAAACCTAGAAATAATGGTTAGCCAAATATCTGGGCACCCTGTGACCCAGTTAAGTTGACACATAAAATTAACTATCACACTGGGCAACTACTAATCTGTTCTCTGTCCCTATAGTTTGCCTTTTCCAGAAAGTTGTATAAATGGTATTATATAGTATGTAACCTTTTGAATCTAGCTTCTTTCACTTAGCGTAATGTATTTGAAATTCATGTTGTATAGATCATTGGTTTTCTCGTTTTTATTGCTGGGTGGTATTCTATTATATGGATATTCCGCAATTTATTTATTTGTTGAAGGATGTTTAGTTTTTTTCCCCAGTTTTGGAACTTATGAATAATACTGTTTAAACAGTAATTTGTAGGTTTTTGTGGGAACATAAGTTTTCATTTCTCTAGGATAAATACCAATAAGTGGGATTGCTGGGTCAAATAATATGTTTAAATTTTTAAGAGACTGCCAGACTGTTTTTCCAGTTTTGTACCATTTTGCATTCTAATCAGTAAATTTTGAAAGTTTTAGTTGCGTCACATCCTTGTCAGCACTTGGTGTTGTCAGTATTTTTAATTTTACCCACTGTAATAAGTTTATAGTGGGATTTCATTGTTTTAATTTTTATTTCACTAATGACTAACAGTGTTGGGCATCTTTTCATGTGTTCATTTCCTATCTGTATATCTTCTTTGGTGCAATGTCTTCAAATATTTTATCCATTGTTTTCTTGGTTGGTTGTTTTCTTATTGTTGAGTTGGAGATTTCTTTATATATTTTGGACACAATTCCTTTGTCAGATATGTGAATTATAAATATTTTCTCCTAGATTGTGGCTTGTCTTTTCATTCTTCTAATAGTGTTTTTCACAGAACTGAAGTCTTAAATTTTGATGAAGTACAGTTATCACTTTTTTTCTTTTATGGATCATGCTTTTGTTATTGTATCTAAAAACACTTTATGTATTCCAAGTTTATGAAAATATTCTCCTGTGTTTTATATGAAGAGTTTTATACAGTTGACTCTTGAACAACACAGGTTTGAACTGTGGGTCCACTTATATGCAGATGTTTTTCAATAAATATGTTGGAAAATTGTTTTGGAGGTTTGTGACAATTTGAAAAAACTCACAGATGCACTGAATTGCCTAAAAATATCGAAAAAATTAAGAGAAAGTTAGGTATGTCAGGAATGCATAAAACCTATGTAGATATACATTTAATAAAAATATATGTTAACTGATTATTTTGTTATTGGTAAGGCTTCTGGTCAATGGTAAGCTAGGAAGGGAGAAGGAGGGTGTTCGTGAAGACTGGAAACATGGATAGTATTATTTTGTTTTGTACAGATTGAGGGTGTAATATAATTGGGAAGTAACACTGCAAAAGAGAACTTACGGTTTTCTTTGGTGGTAATTTTTTTCTCAGATTATTAAAATGATATCTCAAAAATTAAAAATTGTTATTGAACTTTCAGATTTCAATCTGAGAGGCTAGGCAATAGGGCATAGCTTCATAAAGCTAAAAAAAGTTCCACAATTTAATGACAACTGTGCAAAATAAGCCATTAAGTAGACTCGCAAGTCCTACCAACATAAAAATCAACTCATACAAAACACTATACTTTTAAGTACCTGGCCTTAATAAATATTTTATGCTAGTTATATCCCCAAGGATATTCTAGCTATTCATACCAACCTTTTACTAAATTCTCCTTAATATATATAAAGCTGTCGTTAACTTTAGCTACACATAGGAACCACCTGGTGTGCTTTAGAAAATAATGAAACCTGGTCCGGTCCTATCTTCAGAAATTCTGACGTAATTGGTCTGCCATGTAACCTGGACATCAGTTTTTGTTTTTTTTTTAAATTGTGGTGAAAAACACATAACAAATTTTTTTATTAGTGACATTTAGTACATTCACAATGTTGTGCAACCACCACGCTATCTAGTTCCAGGACATTTTCATCACCCCAAAGGAAATCGTTTACCATTAAGTATTTACTTCTCCCCCCATCCCCACAATTATTAGTGTATAGATATAAAACTGATCTTTGTGTGTTGATCTTGTATCCTGCAACTTTGATGAATTCATTTACTAGCTCTAATAGTTTTCTGTTTTGTATTCTTTAGGGTTTTTTATATGTCAGATCATGTCAGCTGTGAATAGATACTTCTTTTCCAATTTGGATGCCTTTTCTTTCTTTCTTTTCTTTCTTTCTTTTTTTTTTTGCCTAATTGATCTGGGTAGAACTTCCAGTACAATGGTGAATAGCAGTGGTAAAAGCAGGCATACTCGTCTTATTCCTGATCTTGGGAGGAGAGTGTTCAATCTTTCACTATTAAGTATGATGTTAGCTGTGAATTTTTCATATGTCCCCTTTATCATGTTGAGGAAATTCCCTTCTCTTCCTAGTTTTCTGAGTGTTTTAATCGTGAAAGGATGTTGTATTTTGTCAAGTGACTTTTCTGTGTCAGTTGAGATGGTTGTATGGGATATTTCATGTTGGCTGGACTGCAGTCATCTGAAGGCTTGACTTGACTGGACATCCAAAATGGCGCACTTATGGTCAGAAGTCGATGCTGACTGTTTGCTGCAAGCTTACTTGGGGTTATCAACCAGGGCACCGAAACCTGGCGTCTCTGACATAGCAGCCTTAGGGTAGTTGGAATTTTTTTTTTTTTTTTTTGCGGTACGCGGGCCTCTCACTGTTGTGGCCTCTCCTGTTGCGGAGCACAGGCTCCGGACGCGCAGGCTCAGCGACCATGGCTCACGGGACCAGCCGCTCCGCGGCATGTGGGATCTTCCCAGACCGGGGCACGAACCCGTGTCCCATGCATCGGCAGGCGGACGCTCAACCACTGCACCACCAGGGAAGCCCAGGGTGGTTGGAATTTTTACGTGGTGGCTGACATTCCTCAGAGAGTGTCTTGTGGTCTAGTGTCAAAAGTCATATAGGGTCCCTTCTGGTTTATCACAGTAGTCACAATTCTGGTCTAGCTTGTATGGAACTTGGAAATCATTACTCTCACACTCACAACAAGAAAAAAGAAAGAAAAAAACAACTGAAAATTAACAATTCTTAGGTCCATCAAATAATTGAGGTCACAAGGAAAAGCACTGCCCCTGCTCCCCAAACTGGAGACAGGCAGATAGAATCACAGCATATCAGAGCAGATGCCCAAGTGCAGAGTGCCATTGCTGGAGCAGTACTTGGGAAAGAAAACTTAAGCTATAATTGACAGATTATTGGAGGCTCAGTGTGGACAACTTTGATAGTTAAAAATTCCAAGGGGGCCTAGCTGCATGAGTGTCCCCACACTTTCATATGTTTTATCTCCAGGAACCCTGCCAGGTTCTCACAGTGTAGATGGGAAGATATTTACCAAGGATGAACCTACATTGCCACATCATAATCACGCAAGCTCCTAGCTTACCTGAGGGTTCACTCTTAGTGTTGTACATTCTATGGGCTTGAACAAACATATAATGACAAATATCCAGCATTATAATATCATACAGAATATTTTCACTGCCCTAAAAATCCTCTGTGCTCTGCCTATTCATCTTTCCTCTTCAACTCCCACTCCTGGAAACCACTGATTTTCTTATTGTCTCCATCCCTAGTTTTGTCTTTTCTAGGATGTTATATAGTTGCAATCATACAATATGTAGCCTTTTCAGATTGGCTTCTTTCACTTAGTGATATTCGTGTAAGTTTCCTTCATATCTTTTCATAGCATGATAGCGCATTTCTTTTTAGTGCTGAATAATAATATTCCATTATCTGGATATACCACAGTTTATTTATTCACTTAGTGATATTCGTGTAAGTTTCCTTCATGTCTTTTCATAGCATGATAGCTCATTTCTTTTTAGTACTGAATAATAATATTCCATTATCTGGATATACCACAGTTTATTTATTCATTCACTTGATGAGGATGTGACATCTTGTTTGCATTTTAGTTTTGGCAGTTACGAATAAAGCTGCTATTACATCCATGTATAGGTTTCTGTGTAGATGTTAAGTTTTCAGCTGCTTTCGGTAAATACCAGGGAGTGCTATTACTGGATTGTATGGTAAGAGTATGTTTAATTTTGTAAGAAACCTCCAAATTGTTTCGAAAGGGGCTGTACTAATTTGCAACCCTACCAGCAATGTATGAGAATTCCTGTTGCTCCACATCCTTGCCAGAATTTTTTGTTGTCAGTGTTCTAGATTTTGGCCATTCTGATAGGTGTGTAATTTTATCTTTTTAATAACACATTTTGCTTCCTAATTCAACAAACATTGAATAGTTACTATAAGACAACGTCCTGGTTCCTGGGGATATAAAGATGAGTTAAGACATGGTACATGGTACATCAGAGAGGATCTTATATTGAGGAATATGGACACAAAAGTGATCATTATGTTATGGTGAAATCAAGTGCAAATTGATTAGGTATATACATGGTGATGTGGGTTTACAGAAGGCCCCCTAACCTGGCCTGCATTTTTGAAGGAGGTGATGATTCACCTAATTCTTAAAGGATGAATAGAAGTAAGCCATGTAAAGAGATTCTGAAAAGGACATTCCAGGCAGAATGGACAGCATAAACAAAGACCCCAAGTTTTCCCCGTGATTTCTCACATGTGAAGATTCAGGAGATTTGAATCTCCCTGCCTGGAGATCTTTTACTCTTCATGGTGCTCTGTAATTACGTTTTAAAGAACAAATCAGTGTAGCATCCAATAATATATAATATAAAAAATTTTCTATTTTTTCTTTTGATTTTTACATCAACAATTTGAATCACAGTGACCCACTGCTGGAGTTTTTATTTTTACCTGGACATC